GAAGAAGTGTTAGCTATTGTATTTACTTTACAATTAAAACAGAGTAATAAATTAAAGGGATTAATGGAAAAAAAATGAGTAAAATATAAAATATAAATAAAAATCTAAATTTTGAGTAAAAAAGAGAAAATGCTAAAGAAAAAGCTCTTACTGAAGAAAAATGAGACTGACTGAATCACAATGCAGAAGGATTTTGTGAAAGTTTAAGTGTTTCTGAGGAGAATGGACAGATGTAATTTAGGTACAATGTTATAAACTCAGTTACTTCAAACAAAAGGTGACGTGTCCTTCCTCTGCATTTCAGAAGCATGCCCCCTTTCAGTCCAACAGAATTCATGGAACTCTCATTAAAGCTTCAGACAGACTCTCTCCTGCCAGCTGTCCAAAAGCAGGATACACCACACAGGGGAGTAAAATGAGGTTTGGGCTACCAAGAAAGAATTAGACAGCAGAGTTTATCCTGAACAAACGTTTAACTGTGTAACAAAAAAGACTGCTTCACAAACATACAGAATTTGTTCGCTTTCGTTTCCAACAGTCGGGATTTAAACGTTTCTGTTCTTCTGCCAAGGCCTTGGCTTCTAGAGTGTACATCCGTCTTTCTTCATTTTTCATTTTCTTCCACCTGTCACCAAGTATCACACTTATGGCTCTGCAAGATAAATGTTTACAGTATGGTCAGGGCAGGGTGTTAAGAAATACCTTTTTTTTTTCTTTTTTATCTCAGCACTTTAAAGACAAAAGTTAAATGCAGAAGTAACACAGAAGAAACCAATTGTATCTTTTAAAAAAATAATTTTAAACAATCATGTTTCCGATGATCTTCTCATAGTTCTTTAACAGTTAAACATTAAGACTTGTGTGTGAGCTGAGCATGGGTCAGTGCACACTGTAACATTTCAGAGGGTGTACATCTGAATACGCAGCAACTCGCATAAACCACCAAAATAGGGGTGTTAACAAAACCACCACCAAATGGTAACTCACATTTGTTTCGTTCTACTTTCGTACTAGAAGATCATATGACAGATTTGCTGAAAATATGTTCTCTAGTAATTAGGGCAATGATCTGAATATGACCTCAGCCAAACAAATACTCGATTAACTACAAACTCCCATGTCTGTTTAACAGATATTTGTAGCTTACTCCACCTTTAATCCATACTGGGGAGAACAGGAGTGGGCGGAACATACTGGTAAGGTCCAGTTCCTATGCAGAAGAAACCATTTGTTCTAACACACCTGTCGTCATTTCCCGAAGCTAAATGAATTGCTTTTCCTGCTCCTTACCAACTTGATGTCTTTTGGACAATACTTCCCCATATCACCATGCCATATTGCTTCCCTGCACTCCCAAATGTTGGCGCAATATTCCGTTAAAGCTTTAACTCCATCTTTTAGCTGAATGAGAATCTCGCAGCTCTTTTATCAATGATGATAAATAAGTTACTGAGTAGGTATGCTCTGGCTTCAGATTACACTGATCAAAGTTCTATGATCAGCTTTAAGAAAAAGGTGTACTTTTCTTAAACTAAGTACTTTGTTTTATCATACTAAAAAGTTCCTTGGTGGCAGCAAAGCTATTCATAGACTTTCTAACAGAATCAAGAAGAGAGTGTCATCAGCCATTTCCATAGCACTTCACATACAGCAATTCCTAAGGCTTTTCTGCACCATACCAAGAAAATGAGTTTTAATCCTGCAAGAGGTTCAGGCTTCCACAAGCTGCAGCACAGCAAGAGCTCCACTGGGGTGGCTGCTGTTAAGCCTGGGCTGACACATACTCTAGTGACTCCTTAAAGCCAGCTCCTCAAACTGCAACCAGATGCCATCAACACGAAATCCACTTGCACAGACTGCCTCTTTGGCAATGGAATTTCTGGTTTTCTATCCAAATTAAGAGCCAGGATCTTTGGTCTGTCATCAGAAGTAAACACACTGCAGTTTAATTAGTCGATTTTTCATGTTTTGGCAGCTCCCCGAGGCAAATCAACAGCACCAGAAACCTGTCTGGTTTTGGTCAAGAGTTTGTTCTGGGTTGCTCCTATTCCCTGTAATGAACACAGTGACCCAGAGAAAACAGGTTTGCTGAAAAAGCCATAACAAATACAAATGTACTATGAAATATTTGTATTTCAAATGCAAAAATATCTATGCATTTTATACCTTCATAGACAAAACTGCACTGAGGCACTGAAACTGAATACAGATCTGTAAGTTTTAAAAAGCTTGAAAAATCTAATGCAGAGACAAATGCTCCATTTCTCCACAGAAATATTTCTACAAGCGAACCACTAAGACTGAAAAAAAAAAATGTTTACAGAGAAATTTCCTGATGTCAGACCTAATTCTCCTGACCAGAAACAAGTAAGAAAAAACTGACCCTTCTGCATCACTGTCTTAGGCACCCTTCACCTCATCAGAACTTTGCTGTGCTCTGTATGATGCCTTTGTCCTCTTAAAATGCTGGTAAGATACCTGACAACATTTCAGCAACAGACTAATGTGCAAGATACAATCTCTTATACTGCAGTTAATTAAAAAGAAACTGTCAAACAGTAGCTGAGAACACCTCAAGTTTACTCAGTAATTATGTTCAGCATGAACAAATGCTGTTAACAGTTTAGATAATTTTCTTCATCTTTAGAACATACACTATGCAAATTATTCAAGTATTTCTGAACACACAATCAAGTCCAACTACAGTTACAGTGAGACTATCTAGAAAAGGAAAACAAGTGCTACCTTAACACCAGTTTCTCAAGTATGGTCTAATGGTGCACAGTATTTTTAAGTATCATGTGAATGTTGACTTGTGTTTTGAATGTTTACAGCTCACTATCTTGTTGACACGGCTTGAGCTACTTTGTCTCCGAGTAGACCGTTTAACTTGGAATAACTCCAGTTCTGTCCTTTCCTACATGCATAAGAAAAATAAAATAACTGTAACAAACCTAAGAACCCCATTGTATGGAAATGAGTACTACATGTAACCAACAGTAAGATCCACCTGGTAATCTGAAAATTACACATACTTACATTTAAAAAACTTGAGAGCTGCCTCTGAACAGCTAAATTAATAAATGCCTCAGCAACAGTAGCTGAATGTCTATAAATCAGTTATCACTACCTCTTACAATTTCTGCTGTACTGTATTTTATGGATGCCAAGAAACTGCATCCAAATGGGACAGTGAGCAGCGCACTCTGAAGCGTACTTGCACCTTTGTCATCACTTTCCTTCAAGGTAAACCTGCTGACTGAAATATTCAACTTATTCTCAGATCCATCCAGCTGCAGCTCCAGTTCACTTCATAATTTTGAAATCAGCATTTTAAATTGGATATATAACCATCATAAACTTTCCTAGCTGACATTCCGTTCAACTTCTCAGTTGCAATGAATTTGAAGGCAGCAGATTTGCTTCACTGAAATTACTATAAACAGTGCAGAACATCACGGCCAGGACACACAAGACTGGCTGGGATTTAAGGATGGGTTGTTTGTATGGCAGAATTTTATTTCTCAACACTAGTTACAGCCTCCTCACTAGAATATTATGAAATATCCAAAATCCCCTCAAAGGTCTGTCACCTTTAGTTTTTTCCAGATTTAGTTCTAGAATTTCTATGTGATAATGCCATTTTTACAGTAATAGTTTTCATGTTATATG